TTTGCTCTCTGGCACTCAGATTGCTGCTCAGTAGAACTAGACCAATAATTCAGGGATCAAACATGGACTCCAGCTCTTCTGCCACGATCAGGTCATTGTTTGCTTATCAGTGGCGATAATAATACCTGCCTCATGGAGTTCTTGTGAAAATTAAATAAATTAATACAATAAAAGTTCTTAGCACTAATCCCCAAAACACAGAAAGTAATTACTAAATGTTAATCACTACAAAATCAATGTCAATAATGATATTATTATTAGAATTTATTGTAACAAATTTAGTTTAGATGTAAAGATGTGGGAACAGAAGTGGCAGAGCAAAACAGTTTACTTGGATGGCATTTGACTCTGATTTCCATAAAACGTTACAGAATTGTACTTGCCTACCACAGTAGTTTTTTTCCTTCCTTATTTCTGTGTAACTCTTAAGATCTGCTGCTGTATTTGTCATCTTAATTGTATGACATTGAAGAAGGAAAACATCATTGGAAACCAGAAACAACTGTGATTAGATTTATTTAAATATTTATAACCAAGCAAAACTATTAACAGTTGGAAACTGTCTTTAAAAATCAGTTATTTGAGGGCTGGGGAATTAGCTCAGTGGCATCGCTCCTGCCTCGCAAGCGCAAGGTCCTGAGTTCAATCCACGGTACCAATGTGAGACCAAAGCGACTCCATTTTGCTAAAATCCACCATTCCCCTAGCCTCTCAAATTAATGGTTAAAATGTGTTTGCTCTGGAACAAAAGATACAATCTGTAACAAACTAAAGTTCCTAAGTTAATTACTCAGCCATCTGTTTACCCAGGAAATGAACATCCTGGGCCCACTATCTGTAGGAACAGTCTGTTAACGTGCTGACTGTCAATGCTGGGTGGTCGTGACCATTAGTCACCGTGTCTGCTGACCATCAATACATGACAGTTGCCCACTAACCTTTGTCCTTCTTTTCTTTTGTAAAACCTATACATAATCCCCCCTTACCCCTGATGAGTTCAGCCAATCAAAAATGTACACTTCATGCTCGATAAATGTTAACCAATCGTGTAACTGCTAAGTAGAAAATCTCCAAACCTTGCTGTAACCTCTATAAAAACCCCGCTAATTTGGAACTCGGGGCTCTCAATCTCGATCCGCTGTGTCGGTGACAATTGAGAGTCCCTGCTTAAGCTTGAATAAATGACCCTCATGTGCTTACATCGGAAACGGCCTCCTGGTGGTCTTTGGGACCTTACAATCTGGGCACAACACCAAAAAAAGAAATCAGTTATTTGTGGGCATGTGAAAGTGTGCACATGTGTATTCATATTTGCTGACATTGGACTAGAGATATAGAAATATAATTATTAACTATAAATCTGCAAAAATGCTAATACATTTTTTCCTGAACTGATGGAATAGAGCAGTTGTCATTTCTTAACATGTGATTACATTTTGGGGAAAATAAAATCTTATAAAGATGGTTAAGGTTTATATTTCATTAAATTGTATGCACAAGAACTGCTAATCAGAGTACAAATGAGAGAAACAAAAACTATCCTGTAAAGTCACAGTGATAAATGAACATTTTCTGGTCTTACAGTAGTTTAAAAAATTCATTTTAGCAACTCAGGGTCTTGAGTGTTCATTGTTCTGAAGTTACTCTGCTGTCTTTTGGGAGGAACGTTACAAGGTTTTTATAAGATTTAAAAAATACCTGCAATGAGATTTATAATGTTCAAAGATTGTAATTATTTTGTATGTCATAAGGCCTTCTGTGGTCTAGCAAGGAGGATCAGGACTAAATGACTGAGAACCTATTGGGAGGAATGCTACATAATTCTAGGGAAAAATCATTTGAGTAGGCCTAGTTCTCCTGCCTACAGGCCAGCTATGGCATTCCAGACATAATTGCATTTTGGCCTCAGGTCACAACTGAGACCTCAGTGATCCCATGAGGCTGTAATACTCCAGGACAAGACCACACACACCTGTGGGAGATGCCAGGGAGGAACCAAATCTTCATCTGCATAGTTCCTCATTGTCCTTAGATTTCCACTGCCCCCCCCCCGTCTTTTTATACCTTGTTTATCCCAATGTGAAGTACTGAACTCTGCATTTTTCACTTGTTACATCTGTTTCCCCATGTACTGAATAAAAAGTGCTGCAAGCTAGGGGGCTTTGTCTTTGCTGCCCAGAGCAGCACTGATCAGACCCAAAGCTCAGCTTCTTCTCAGTCTCATTTGTCTACCTTTCCTGTAATTCGCCATGTGCTGCCGTGGCTCGCAGGAGACTAGGACTTACTGCAGAGGTTCTGGTAACGTCCCCTTCCCCTGTTCCCTACAAGAACCTTTTAAATTTGGGACAGAATGTTTGAGTAGAAGCTTCTAATAGAATAACACAAAGAAGCTGGATCATTCTAGTTGTGTTTTGGATAAATATGATGTTTGGCAATTTCTGTAGTTGCCATTCTTTTTCTTGTGCCTTTCTCTTTTTTCCCCTTTGTTTTATTAGATCATTTTAAAAAACTAAGCAAAGCAACTCTTCATCTAAAATGACATTACAGCACAAAACCCCAGACCCAAGTAATTGACATTCCTGATGCAGAACAGCAGCAACACATCACTGTCAATAAAATGTCAATCTAAAGAGGCATCTTGAAAGGTGGCTGGGTGACGGTGGATTGGGGTTCTTCCATACCCAGCTGTCAAGACTGTGCATGAGTATGGATCCTTCACAGCACTGCCCAGTTACTCTATGGGACTACGTTGGGAACTTTTGGTGCCTTTTGGTGCTTAAAGAAAGACTGATTTGATAGGAGCATGTGGTCTACATTTTTGAATCTTGATGATCACAGTGTTCTGTGAAATACCCACTGGGGAAGGATTAAATCACCTGCTTTGGGGTTCCAATCATGTCTTTAAGCAGTGGAGTCTTTGAGAAAGTGACTTAGGATCTGTGAGACCTCTCCCCATTTTGGGATTCTCTTGTGCTAATTCTGACTTGTCATATTATTCAGTGGCATTTGAAAGCAAATCAACAGACTGTATACTATTCATCCAGCCCTGGTGGCACTTTCTGGTTAATCCTCAATTAAGTTCTAGATAAAGTGTCTCAAATATATAAAAATTAGAACTCACTGGGGCCGGGGATTTAGCTCAGTGGTTTTGCCACCTGCTCCGCAAGTGCAAAGACCCGAGTTCGATCCCAGGTACCAAAAAAAAAAAAATTTAGAACTCATAAACATAAACAAAAGGGCTTTTAAAAAGTTTTCTGGTAGATGTTCCTCCTAAAGCAGGCATCTGCTCCATACAGACATCATCTGTGAGCCGAGAAATGATGATGGATGGTGCACCTCTGTAGGTTAGGGGCAGTTGACTCTGTTCACCACAAACATATGCCATTGAATGTTAACGGAGGTTATCCACTCGATATCTCAGTCAGATGTCTTAGAATCAAAGCCTTAACTTTCTTAGCCTCTTCTCTATCCTGTGAGGGAAAATACAATGCAGGGTACCTATTGTATGCATATTCTGTATAATTCAAGCAATTAATCATCAGAAAAAACCTTTTATTTAATCGAAAACAAAAATAGCAGACAATAGACATAGAAAGATAATCTTTCCCCCATATTAATTATGAAACTTTGTGCAAAATGTATATAGGGCTTCTTAGGCATCTCTCTTAGAGGTTCTGAGATACGGCATTGAGTCTGAGCACCCAAGTGACTTTGATATAGACCGACACAGATACATACATTGGTTCTATTTACAGTGTTACAGATGCATCATTCCTACTTAATATGTCGATGACCATCTGTATACACGGTTATCCCTTACATGACCATGAAGTGGCATGTCTAAATGAATAAATGGTATATTATTTCAGAATTTCCTTTCAAAGAGTCATAGAGATCTCTATCAAGTAAAACACAGAGCAGCACATTGCTTTAAAATTAGACATAATCTGTAAAAAGGAAAACCCCATGCATAAATGGGGTTAAGAACTCCATGTACCATGACAGGAGGAGGTGGTCTGGGAGGAGGAGTTGCCATTCAAGATAGGAAAAATTCTTTATGGAGCAGATTTAAAGTTACAAGTATTCATCTTTCCTAGGTTTTCAAAATATAGAAAAACATAAAAGAGTTATAAGATATTTCCCAATCTAAGAATCAATATTTAGGATTAAAAGGAAACCTGTACCCTATTCTCCTATTCAGTTTGTAAGATATTTATGGTCAAGAAAAGTTTCCTTGTTTCACAACTACTTCCATTTCCTAAAATACAATAAAGCCCTTAAATGTTCATGAGTCCTTCTAGGATTCAACCATGATCATTTTTAAAAAATACACATTACACTTAAGAAATTACATGGTTCAACGAGAATGTTTAAGCAGAAAATCTACAAGTAATACTTTTATTTTAAATTAGTTAAGTTATATTAAGTGTTCATGAGACTATTCAGGAAATAAGATTATACTAATGAAGTAATACTGTGTGGTTGAACTGTGAAGTTTGATTAATTATTGTGTAAGTCCCTTGGTCTTTGCTGAGGAAAGTAAAACTATAGAACCAGCCTGTTGCTGGATGCTTCTGCAGAGAAAGTCAAATGCTTTCCTGAAGAGAAATACCGTATGCTTATTCTAAGAAACATATGATATGGGAGGCACAGTAGCATTGTCTTGTTTTTTTTTTTTTTTAGTACGGGGGATCAAACTCAGGTCCTTGTGCTTTGGAAGGCAGGCAGTGGAACCACTGAGCTAAATCCCCAGCCCTAGCATTGTTTTTTCTAGAATGCATTTTGAAGTCAGTTAAGGTTCAAATAAGACCTGGCCATTGGGTCAATTTGGCCAAATGTTGCCACTTTCTAGGGCTCAGTTCCCTCACAGAACTGTGAAGGTGAATGTGGTGAGTTCTATAAAGAGCTTAGCCAGGGTTCAGGCTATGGTGCCTGTTAAATAAGCATTGGCCAATATCTCCCTCTCCTTCCTTTTACCCTCCTCTTCTTCTACTTCATAGTAAACAAAGAACAAGCTGTACTGGATGGGATTGATGTGCTGCTAAGCCAGAAAATATGCTCCAGGAGGTTAAAACTGCAAGTGCTAGATTTGCTGGACAAGCACAACAACTTTTGGAGAGTCTGGACTGGAAACAAGTTGGAAGCCTGCTCCTCCTCAGAAGCCATGAAGAAGAGAAACACAGAGAAGAGTGGGCCAAGGGCGGCAGAAAAGCAGCCCCTCAAGGTGATTGTAGACCTGGAGCTCAGTCACACATGTCTGTATCTATTCCAATCCTACCTCCTCAAGTGGATCCAGCAGAGGAAAGGTCTGGTGCAGTTGGATTGTCCGAAGCTGTGCATTAAAGAGCAGACATTCAAAGTATCATAGAGATCATAGAAATCCTGAACCTTGATTCTGTGCAGGTGGCAGAACTGGGTGACTGCTGGACATTATCCACCTTGGCTCTTTTGGCCCCTTATCTGGTTGAGATGAAAAATCTTCAGACACTAATCATCTCTGACATCTCTGTGCCTGAGTTCCTTTCCTCAAAGGAGTTAGAGCAGTTGCTCACCCAAAGCACCTCTCAATTTTGTAAGCGTCACCATCTGGAGAAGATTTGTATAGACTCTCTCTCCATCGTGAGCCAGTGCCTGCTCCGGATGTACAGGCCTGTGTGATCACAGATGCCCTACCTTGAGCCGATGCTTCCAGCTCACTACATTCAGCTACTTGAGGAACTCCATGTCCATAGCCACCCTGGATAGCCTGCTGTGTCACACTGCAAGGCTGAGGAACTTACGCCTGAATGTCTCCTGGCTGAGACTGGACTAGTTTCAGGGTGGGCTAAGGAGGATGGTGCAGCCATTAAACCATCCCAGGATAGTCCGGTTTTGTGTTGCTCATTGTGTGCTCCCTTGTAACTATAGAGTCTATTAACTGCACCCTGCTTCGTGGCCTACTTGTATCACTATCTAGTTGGATTTAAGTATCCTATGTTTGCATTGGGCACCAGGGACACAGGACCTTTGTTTCAATGTTAATGAGAAAAAGGTAGGTCAGACAGCAAACTTGGGGAATCATCGGATCCAGAGTTAAAGTGACTTTTGTAGACTCAGGTCCTAGAAAGCATCAGAAAGAGGAATCTGAGTTTCTAGCTATAAATTCAGGCTTCAGATGAATATGTGTTTGATTGTAAAGAAATGATCTGAAATAAAGAGAGTTGCATTTAAAAAAAATAGCAAAGAAAATGTAAAAAGTTTAATTTCAAATTAAACATTTCCTTCTTTATTTCTTGCATGTTTTGAGTTAGGTTATTTGTGATACAAAAATTATTTTAAAATCTTATTACCTCAAAGTTAATTTCTTTTTTTTCCAGTTGTCTAAGAGCTTTTGATTTTTAAAAAATTCTTCAATTTCATAATATATGTGAACATGAATTCTCTAGACCTATTCCTAATGATTGGAGGAATCCTTGGTAACATTTTTCCTTCATTTCTCGTTCAGCTTTTTCTATGTAGGACAGTCAAGTTGAAGGACTCCCCTGATACCCTTAGAGAAAGTTGCTTAGCGAGAAACACTGAAGTTTTATAAACAGCTGGTGTAGAACACTTCTGCTGAAGTTTTAGGTTTGACTAGTGTGCTCAGTTTAGAAAATGAATTACAGCTTTCATCAGTTAACTTGTGCAGAGCTAAGGTAATTAATAGGAGGACTGATGGATGTCATTGAAAATTGATGATCACACTAGCAGTGAAATAGTATTCAGATTGTTTTCATCTTCCTTGTTTAAAAGAATATGCATGAAGAAAAGAGCCCACAAATTGAGATTGAGTCTACAGAATGACTGTTATAAATAAATAATGCAATTTGAGCCCTGTGAGCTAAGTTTTGCATTTTTTCCTTTGTGCCTTTATTGCACTACATGACCTCAGGTAAAGAAGCATGTTGAATTCTACTTGATGAAAAATGGTTAAAGAAGAAGAGTATATGCTGCCAGTTCACAGCTGGATCTGTGAACTGAATTACAAAGATCATTTCAGTTAATCTAAAGGATAGGGATACTCAAACACAAGTTAAGTACATCATTATCCCTTTCCCAGAAACAAACAGAAGAAGGAGGCAAAGGAGAAAGTATGAATGGATCCTGCAGAGATGTTCCAGTATGTGTATAATACATGGTATGGAATTATAGACAGAGTTGTATTTTGAAAGGGAGTCTGACTCCCGGGAGGCGGTGTAGACAGCTATATTTCCGCAATACAGAGAGGCAGTGTTGCCTCACACACAGTTATGTTCTTTAGAGCCAAAGTGACTTAGGTTTCTTTTCCTGTTCCACCTTTAATTGGTTGTGACAGGTTACTTTTCTTCTCTACGCCTTATTTTCTCACTGGTAAAAAAGGATTAAAAATAGTACTTCATGCAGCTACTGTGAGGGTTAAATGGGAACATGCAAGTTAAGAGCTGAGCACAGTGTTTGACACAGAAGACAGAAATATACCATGTGAGAATTGCTAGTATCATTCCCTGAGACAGGCAAGGACTAAGAGAGGTGGTGAAATTTTAGCCTAGAAGTACTCTGCTCACATTAATTTATGGGATAACATTCATTTTAATTCTCCATTTCCTTGACCATTTTGTCCAGTAGCAGCACATTGTGAGGCAATTTATAGTGGAAATGAAAAGTGGGGCTTTGATATGTACATGGAATTTACTTGGTCCTTAAAAATAAATTAACTGATCAAGGAAATTGTAGTTGGCTCACTGATTTTTTAAGAGTTAGCTGAACATCACCTTTGTGACACCCTTTGAGTAGCAACAGTGTTTGTGTAAAAAGAATGTGTGGGTGATAAACTACAGTGAGAGGAACACTATAAATTACACATTTGGTAAGTGAATCAGTTCAGCTATTCACACAACAAATTGACTAGTTTGATGAATAAAGTCTAAGCTCATATCTCATAGTGACATTTTATGTATTTTTCGTGTAAGAATTACATAAATAGAGCTTCCAAGGTTTATATATGCTTAAAGTGTATTTCATTTCCATATGTGGTGGTCACAGTGCTTTGCTCTTTCTATCCAATTGTACTTTTTCTTTAGTGATACAGCACTATAACTCGGACCCTTTTGCCTACTCTACTTTTTGATTCTCATTGCCTTAGGCACTTGCAGTATAAGGCCGTCAACCCTGAAGCCTTTTTACAAACCCAAATATAATCTTTCTAGATGTATATTGAAATTATGCCCTGCTACTACTGAAAGTTTAGTTACGGTCTGGTCCTTGTGGTCCCATGTATTATGCAGATGTTGAATACTCTTTGTAGAACATATTCAGCATTCGATGTTTCTGAGTAACTGAGTTTTGATAAAAGTGGAGTTACAGACTCAGCCTGAAACACTGTTAACAAACAGTGATAAGATCCGTGTTTCCTGGGCATAAAATATAGAGATGAAGAAAATATTTCTGAGGACATAAAGATCAATATGATTTTATCTCTGAAAACATATCTGTTTTTAATACCTTTTTGAATTTTCATTCTTTTTCCTTAACAAAAGTAAACTGCAAATTGTTTGACAATGTTATTTAAATTCCTTTATCTTTTGGTATTATGAGACTATAAGATTTTATGGAACAAATATTACTTTAGGGAGTTGCTATAATGAAATATTTGCCTTTATTTTAATCATTTATTAATGCAATAATTTTAGAAAAGTTTATAAGTCTATATCAGTCCTTTCTACCACAGGAAAAATGAGCCTGTTATATACTTTTTATAGTTGAAATATTGATTATTATTCATATCGTTCATAAGTGTGGTGAGTTCTGAGCTTCCTGAAGGCTGCTGCTTGGCCCATGTATCCTTAGTGAGCTTGGCCCCAGGAGAACACCATCACCCATTTCCTCTTGGCCCTACTTTGTACGCGTACAGAAACACTGCCCTCCACCCTCCTCTGGTTCCTTGGGGACTTAGATCTGGAATTAGAAAATATTGCATGTTGATGTAAAGCTTTTAATTCATTTGGTGAGCCTTTTCAATGCAGTCATGCAAAAACTCATGATGGGTAAAACCTTCTCTGGGTAGAGGTGCTGGTTATGTATGGGATGCTTCACTTCTGGAAGTCAAGTTTCAGAGGACAAACTCTAGAATATGTTTTCTAGGGGTTTTCATTCATTTCAAAGATAATATTGCTTTTGAAATTCAAAATGTCCCCTAGACAGGGCTATCAGAATAATGTAAATAAATTTACTGGCATTTTGACTTTATTAGCTTACAAATTAATTACTTAGCAAATTTACAACTTTTTTTTTTTTTTTTTTTGTACTGGGGATTGAACTCAGGTTCTTGCACTTGCACAGCAGGGGGCGAAACCACTGAGCTAAATCCCCGGCCCACAACTATTTTTGAATAGTTAACTATGCCCTCCCAATAGACTAGGGAAAGAGTACATGTTTGTATGATAAACGACTTTAACCAGGAGTGGTTCTTCAGATGACTTCGAAGTCTTTGTTCGTATTTTTTTTTCAGCGACTTGGAACATCCCATTATATTCAATTTTTGAGACTTTTGCCAAGTATCTGTTTATCACAGTGCTAATACTGTCAGACAAACATATGGATCAATAGGTAGAACAACACAGTCTTTTTCTTTAGGAATTGATGTTGGTTGTACTTCTCTAATCTTACTCAAGCATAACATTAGCTGTGATTTAAATTAAGACATATAGGTTTCAGTTTGCAAGCAACCATCCAGATATAGTGTGGTATGGTGCAAAAAACATAGGCCTTAGTAGGGTCAGATCCAGAATAGGAGTTCAGGAAGAAGGGAATGGATATTTATGAATGACTTTTGAAATGTGAAGTATAGCGATCAATGGTATTCTCATGCTATTGCCTGTTCTCTGGAGCCCCTGGCTCCTTCACGTTAGCAAGACTATAACTTACAAAACCTCATTCTCCAGTCTTAATGGAAGAGATGATCACCGTTGCACCTATCCTACCTCACCAGATCGCTGTGAGGAACAAATGGTGTTGAAAAAGTGCTTTGAGGACAGACAGTAGAGCTCTACACAGATATTCACAATCAGTGTTAATTTTTTAGTATACTTCTTTATTTCCCAAATGTTTTGAGTTTATTAATTACTATTGTGTTAAGCAGAATTTGGAGAATACATTTAGGAACAGATAGTAATTTGCCAAAAAGGAAAAAAAGTAAGTCTGAAATTAAGATTTCATTGGCTACAAATGCTCTCCTAATTCTGGAAATGAAAAATAAAGCAGGACAGGGAGGCAGGGTGGAAGAAGGGAGGGTAGAAGGAAAGAGGAATTACTATTATAAGAATATACTCTTTGTTTTCCAATGAGGTGTACAAGCAAAGTATGGGTTTTTGAGAAGGGACTTTGTATGCATATGTTAAGTGCTTTAAAATATTTATAGTGAAACTAAGTTTAAAAAGGAGGTGGATCATCTCTTCAGAATTCTTAGAAAAACTTAGTTTGTAGTGGATGACCCATAGTTGGATAATCTCCACAGGTGAAAGATAGCACTAATATGAAGATGTTTTAAAAGCAGTCCTCTAACTATTATGACTTACCATAGAAGAATATGATATACAATATCCAAAAGATGAATATTTTTGAAATATTTGCGTGTTATATATTTGACAAACCATTGCCCCCTTTATTATAGGGTCTTAGCTTTTGCTTTTAGAGTACTTCATTATCTAGATAAGCATTCTTTTAATTTTTGGCACATATTTCTAATTCTTTTTAATATTAGTTTTGAAATATAGAGGAGGCTGAAATTTAATGGAATGGTGGAGGAAGCTCTCCTAAGCCTCTCCCATAAATAGTTTAATATGTAAGGTATATTATCTTTCATTATAAATATGCTAAACCCTTTGGACCTCAGTTTCTTCATCTATCAGATGAGCAGATTAGACTAACTACTGTACGACACTTTCTGTTAAAAAATTCTGTTATTCTATGAAAGCCTTTTTTTGCTTTTTCTTTTTCTATGATGACCTATGTAATATGGTTTTTATTATTGGTGCCTTTAAAAAGTAGCCCCCCACCCCATAGTCTAAAGATGAATGAACATGACAGCAAGAAGTACGAATAAACTCGACAATTATGCAAATGTAGTACATGACTTGATCAGTGCTGCACTTGACAAAGATTTGAGATAGGCCTTGATATCTTTTCTCATCTTGTATTTATTGACCTCTAAGTTATGTCTTTTGGGATCTTCTACTCTTCTATCAAGTTAAAAAAACATTCTGATTTCTCCCTGTTACTTTTCCCCATCCTCTGACACTAGCTACTTTCTTTACATTAGAATTTGACTTCCTTGACCTTATTGCCAAAGTAATAATTGCTATCAAGTTCTACCAGTAGTTTCTTGGACATCACTTTACCGCAAGGAGGTGAGGGAGGAATTCTGTGAGCTACATGCAAGACCTGTGTTCATTTGTTATACAATGAAGCTTTCCTAAGTACTCGGTGCATAACCAGCATCTTTATCTTTGACAGCATTGACAAGATATACTGATGTATTGCTTTGTGTTTGCCTTCTCTACTTAGTTTCATATACTTAAGAGCAATACATAAGGAGCTAAACACTGAGGACTAGTGGGCTTCACATATGTCCAGTGTTTCTCCATTTTGGCTTGAACCACATGGTTTTAAATTACTCTTTGGGGGCATTCTTATTGAGTCTAGAAGTAAGGACTCATTTTCTAGCATGTTCTTGGTTTCCTTTTAATGAACTCCTTCAGATTCAGCAACCTCATCTATGGTCATCTTTGGGGATTGCTAATTAAGTAGTAACATTTAAATTACAAAAGTGTTGTTTAAAAAAAATTCAACCAAACCTTTTGTGAGTTTACAGTAAATTTCATAATGCCATGTTACATGGGAATTTTATAGCAGAAAAAAATCAGAGGAGGGGAAAAACGTACAACATCAAACCCATCTTGTGGCTAAAGCAATAGATATTTACAAAAAAAGAACAGCAGCAACAACAACAACAACAACAGCAGCAACAACAACAAGCCCAGTAAAAAACAGACAATGAATCATAAGTTAATCACCCTTTTCACAGATCCCTAAACTGCTGGCCTAGAAAGCTGGTAACACTGTTTATTAAACCAGTAACAATAAATGTTGTCACTACCAAAGAAAAAAATCTCGTTAAAATCACCTACTCATTAGCATTCTAACTTAATATGTTGCTTGTGTCAAGTAACACCCTGAAATGACCCTCTTTTGAAGCTGGTCTTGCTAGAAAGCTATTATTTCGGGTGTCTCTACGTGCCTGGGTGTGACTATGAATGGTTAAATCCTCCAGACATACTCATATGTCCATCATCTGGCACGGATTATCAAATCACCAAACTCACTGGCACACTGAGTTGCAATGCAGGGGGCCTGGAGTGACTGTTTCTCAGACTCCAGTGGGCACATTGCTGACCTCTGAAATCCACAAAATATGTATGTGAGTTTTACTAAGGTTAAAGAGTAAACCCACTCCTGTTAGCTGTCATTGATTGCAATTTTAAAATAGGCTGGGTAAGATTTAAGAATGTGTGTGTTCAATATCAAAAGTTTCCCTGGAAAAGGTCTAGGAAAAGCTGAAATCGATACTGCAATGCTACATAATATAGGAGTTTGAAACTGGGAGATTGAACGTCTACTTCAAGCCTTTCCTCTTGGCTAGGAACTTAGAGCTACCTCAAAATAACAGATCTGGTCTGTTTCAAAAGCAACACTTCTAATGAATAGCAGAAAAGCAAATAAAACACCTTTCCTCTTCATAATAAATCATTTTTTTTTTCTATAGATTGCATGTGGCATTTGAGGCAGAGCGAGCACGGCTGCCAATATTGCAAGCTAATGCTTCAGCACCTTTCATTTTTCACTCTGAGCAGGAACCCTCTTCTGAAACTTGTTCATTTTACAGAGGGAAAATCGAAGCCACTGGCAGATTGTCAGAGCTGCTTTATTGTCATCATTTACAAAGGTCGCTGGAATGAATTGACTTCTTACATTACATATTATAAACTGACGCGTTTTTTGACACATTTATGGGAAAGTGGCAGAATCTAAGTAGCTGGTTATTATCTTTTGGTTTTGGCATATATTATAAACTAAGAAATCAATAATAACTCTGAAATTACAATGTGAAAAAAAATAACACTGTTTCAAAGAAGCAGACTCCATTAACTGGTTAGTTGAACTAAAGAAAGGCAAGAGAGAGCTCCAGCCTACAAAATGTAAATACGGGGTTTGTTTCAATGTCTTTACAGGACCTGTGCACAGGGGTAGTGAAGCTTTCCACGAACATCCTCAATTGATGTTGTCTCTTTGGAAGCATATTCTAAGTAGCTGGCTTCCTTCTACAAGATTGGAAGTAAAAATTAGCCCACAGTATGTTCCATGATTCATCACTGCATGGATGCTCATAGAGTTTACTGAATAATTCTGTCTCAAAAGCATTGCTTCTGAAACTAAAGATAAGAAATATAGGCTATGAGTAATATTTATAGTACTAGGGCACAGTTTTCTTGGTAGATCATTTGAATCTTCTTCCCTTTTTATTTTTCACATTGTCCCCTTTTCACTAAAGTAGGAAGGTTGTACTCATATTCATAGCCTGCTTTCACTAAAATTAGAGACATGGAAACAAGGACATATTGTTAAAAATGAATAAATTAGAGCCGAATTAAGCAATCCAGTTCAGTAACAGCAAAGGGAATATTGCAGTTGATTTGAACAAACAATCTTCTTAAATGGGAAATGTACTTTAAAGCCATCCTGCTGTGATCCTGTTAATTACCAAAGAAGATGAGAACTCTTCTGGTTCATGGGATCCTTTTACCTAGTGTGTGGCAGTTCCAGTTGCATTAGCAAGCAGACATTCACCATCCCTTCACACCAGTGAGGGGATGTTATTAAAGAGAAGTCATTTACCCCAATCTCTAAGATGTAGCCTGGCAGAAATTCAATAACTGTTTGTGATACAGTATGCTCCTTCCGCTACTCCACTTAGTGGTTTTTGCTCTCGATATAAAACAGCATTCGCCTTCATCTCCATCCACACGGTGAAAGGGAGCAAAAATGCCCCATTGAAGAGGGTGATTTAAAACACAAAATGATGTGTGATCTCCTTTTCATTACAAATAATATGAAGCAAAAGGAAAACTCCCCCTGAAACCGTCTCTCTTCTGTCCCTCTCTGTCTCCCTCTCTCCCCACCCCCACTTCACTCTCTCCTCTCTTCTCCCCCGCTGTCCCCTTCCCTTTCTCTCCGCTTTCTCCTCCCCCCAGCCCTGCCTTTCTCTCCTACTCACATCCTCTGATGGGCATTCAAGCTAGTAAAATGCATGTTGGAAAATCCCACAGGCACAGCTCTGCACACAGAGCAAGAGGATTCTGCAAGTGAATTTCTTCTCAAAAGTAAAACGTAAAGAAAAATGCTCTTAACATTCAGACAAGGAGAAAACCTCAAAGGAGAATTGAAGTGTAAAAACAAGAGCCTCAGTGAAAGGAGAAAGAGCACATTTGAATAGATGTACGTATTGTAAACTTACCTTGCTAAAGCAGTTTCAGAGCTAGACCACCTCTGCTGTCCCTGCGTGCAGAATTCCTCCGTCCCTTGGTTGAGATAATCACTCGCTTGTCTTCTCCCCCGGGTGTGAATCGTGCATATGTGTGTGCGGTAAAGTAGGCACAAATATGCACTACGGATATGCACACATGCAGGCAGTCTTATCTCCGTATTCTGAATAGAAAGGAAGGCAGGAGGCTGCAGCTAGGATTCCCTCTTTGCCCTGGAACTCTTTCTCTCGGTAGGCAGCTGAGGCTCTCAATCCCGGGCAGGGAGGTGCTGGGAGTTGGCTTGATTGCTCCTTGTTTCCATGGTGGTTAGCGGTGCATCGTTCACCCGATCAGTTGTCACACTGACATGGTGCTGCCTGCTCAGCGGTCATTAATAACTGAACACCCTCCACTCCCCAGAGAGGAGCCAATCGCTTCCGACTGCCAAGATGTAGCCTTCGCAGCGGCTCCAGTCTGGTTGGCTGGAACAACCTGTCTGTTCTATGACACTGCCGCTCAGGGTGCAAATAAATGAAACCGGCTTGCATATTTTCCTAGGAATCATTTGCTTGCTTTTTCTCCTTCAGGAGAATGTTAGGGAATTTTGGTAAGTTCTCTCATTTGGGGGGTTATCAGCCATTCAGCGAAACTTATGTTTTCACTTTGAAAATACTGTAGGCAGGGCTCACTACTAACAAGGATTTCCCGAATATTAAAAACATCTGGTATAAACTCAAGTCTCTGCCTGCCTCTCTGTGAAGTTCAGCAATCGCTTTATTATTTTAAGAAGAGCATCCTGAAACTAGCGTTGAATGGCATTTGGTTCTCTATAGCTACTGCTTAATTTAGCATGTGTGCTTGCTGTTCAATACCACTTTCTCCCCCCACCGTTTCTTTTTCTTTTTCCTAATTTTTTTGGCAGCGACACTTATCTGGACATAAAAATAAAGCATGTATTTGCTTCTGTAAAATTCAAACATTTGAATATAAGGGGAGTAATTTTAAAAATATACACATTTTTTAAAATATTCACTCCCTTTTTATGTAATGTAATAAATTTGCAAAACACAAGTGAATGGGTTAATGGGTAAGGACTGTTTGTGCACACACCTCACTGCGCAGGGGGAGAGGTGTTTGGCTGTCTGATTTGCTACTATGGGGGACTGTTTTAAGTATAACAAATTAAATCATCAAAAAATGAATTCTCCTTATTCTTAGGCATATTAACCCCTTATGGATATTTACAAGGAAAATATCCTACATAATCTATATCTGAAAAATAATTTTTGGATTTATCAAAAATTTGGAAAAGAAAATGCAAAAACATCATAATTGTATATGTCTCTAAGAATACTTATGAAAAATTCACAATTAAAAATGCATATTTCATTATCTTAATTAGTACACTAAAGCAACATCTTGTTGAGAAGACTGGAACATGAGAATTAATGTGCCAACAGGTCAAAAGCTAGCTCGATACATGACTCCAGCCCTGGTTTTGAGAGACTACCCTCTAGTGGAGTAAAACGAAATGACATTTCTCAGATTTACTTGGGGGGGGGCAAAAAAAAGCTTCCCATCTAATTACTCCTTAAGGTATTTATTAAAGTGGCATAGACCAATGATTTGCAGTTCTTATAATCATCATACTACGGAATTTTAAAAGCACTAGTTTGGTCTTTAACCACCAGATGTTTTCACTTTGTAGTTTCCTATAAAAGTTCCCAAAATGCTCTTTTGTTTTATTTTCCCACATTTGGTATTAGTGCATATTGGTTATACAAATTAGTGGGTTTCATTTAGGCAGATTTGTACATGCACATAACATACTTCAATCATTGCCCCCTATTACTCAATTTCCGTACCCACCCACCCCCAGTTTCACATTTTGGAGGATTTCAATGTGTGTAATGAATTTTGATCATATTCATGAAATGGTTCCTAATCTTCTGAATAAAAATAAGTTCAAAACAAAAGTGGCTTCTTACCTAACCTAATAACGCTTATTTCAGAATGTTATTTTAAAGTTTCATTCTTTACCAGACACTCTAGTATTTCTTCAAAAAGGACATAGTTGGTTCTCTAGATGTGTCAGGGACTAAGGTTGAGTGTTGGGAATGCTGTATTGGATTGTCTACATATAATTCAATGCACTTATAATCATGGTAATAAGCATCCTTTTTTACCCCTAATTTTACAGTCTCCAGCTTTAAGTTTTTGTATATTCCAAATCATTTCAATATTTGTAGGATTTATTTCCATGTATGAGAGAAGTATGTTAAAATTGTGACAATTATTTGAAAAATGAAATCTATCTTTATACTGTGATTTTGTAAACATTTCATTTTGGTTGATTGGTATTGACTGTATAATTGACAAATCCAGTAATCAAGCCTACTTTAATGCACTCCCTTAATGAAGATAAGTTGTGATGGTCAAAGAGATACATGATTAAACTACTTTCTTGGTTTATAAATGAAACTAATAATCATTCGTAATGTTCACATTTTCAATCTTGTTCAGGGATCAAGGAAAAATCTTTTAAGTTATAATTTAGTTAGGACTGAATGCTATTTTATTTTTATTTAGTGAAATTTATTTATTTGCAGTACTGGAGATTGAAACATCTCTAGCCCTTTTTATTTTTTTATTTTGAGACAAGGTCTGGCTAAGATGCCCAGAAGGTACAAAAACTTGCAGTTTTTCTGCTTTAGCCTCCCTTAGTGCTGGGATCATAGGCATGAGTTACCATGCTTGGGTAGAACTGAGTATTATTTTAAAAGCTACCTGACATTATTTCATAGGAAGTTGTTTTAACAAAATGATTACTGCCTTTTGGATGATAGGGAATGAAATTTTTTCTTTTATTGTAGGTACACGCTAAATTAAAATGATCTCATATTTCCTTTTAGAAATTCCATACTGTGGAGCATTAGGAGTGAGATTTTGATGATGGGGAGAAAACTCTGGCTTTGGATTAAAAGAATAAGGATTCTATTCTTTGGCTGTAGTTTCTATCTTGCTACAAGAATATCAACAACCTAGTGAAAGCAGTGTGTTTTCAGGTCCTTTTTCACTTATCCATGATGTGAGTCTTCCACTGAAAATATGAAAGTTTCTTACAAAAGATGTATGAAAGAGTTATTTAGCTATTACATCCAGAATGAAGTACTATAAGAAGACATTCACTTATGATGGGGTAAGGATTTCAGGGCTTTTGAATTAATACAGTTGTGAATGGTCATCAAATAAGAACCGTGAAATTTTAGAACTCTAATGTTCTAGAAGATCAAAAGATTTATTGAAGTGTACAAAATTGATACGAAAGCCAGGAATAGAACCCCTTGGGTCCTCCAACATTTCTCTACCATACCACTTTATCATCCACTGGATACTTGATAGAGTTCTGTATTTCCAGTTTTACCTTTCTGATTTTTCTCCTTTCTTCTCTTCCTTTTTTTTCTTTTATTCTGAAGTTTCTTGTCTTAGAGTCTAATAGACTTTCAGAGAAATTTCATATTGCAAATCTACTTATTACATTGGTGTACATGTCAGCTACATTCTACTAAATTTTTTCAATGGTTCTCAAATGAGCATTCACTCTTAATTTAAAGGTACTGAATAGTTTAACAACATGAAGGAGGAATTAATCTATAAGTTATGTTGAAAGGATTTTGCCTTTATCATCAAATAAAACATTCACTTATTATATATAAATGTATATTTATTCATTGATTTAGTAGTCAAAGAAATTAACTTTGGAATGATTTATTCCTTTTTCATCCTGGACTTTATTTGCCTGTGTACTTTTGTTATAGAAGTAGCCTGGGCAATGGATAGATTGCAGGTTCTGGTGACAGATTGTCTGGGTTTGGATGCTTCCCTCGCTACTTCTAGCTGTGTGACCCTGAGCATCACATTAAGTATCATCTCTGTTAAGAATCATCTTTGCATCTCAGTTTAAGTATCATCTTGACATCTCACTTTCCTCTTACGATTGTTATGAGGATTCGAGGAGTTAATACATATACAGAGCTTAGAAAATGCATGAAACGTAGTAAGAGTTTGACCTCAATTTTGCCCTTCAGTTATGACTGTGGTCATTATCAATGGTGTCGTCTCCTCCTCCTCCTCCCCTTCACCCTCCCCTTTCACCACCACCACCATCATTTTGTTCCAGCTGCCCCCTTTGTTTGGAATGTCCTTTCTACCTTCTACTCCAAGTCCTTGACTTTTACTTGTCTGCTATTCGAAAATATGTTGTTCCACTCTGATTCCTCTAACAAAATGTACACTACATTTGACCCAGAGTAACAATTTTTATTTCTCTTTTAATTTATCACTATTGTCATCTCAATTGTTTCTATAATTTTACCTCTTTTCCCATTTTAGCTTATAAGGTTCTCCTTGTGGGGAGAGATGTATGTCTCATTATGTCTTTATGCTCCACGGTGGATAAAAAAACAGATGAGACAAATTTATTGAACACTAACATATGTCTGTGTTTTAAAAGTTATTTAATCATTATAGCATCTTTATAAGATAGATGCTTTATTCCCATTTGACAGTGTAGCTGACATTAGCTGCAAGAAGTTACGTTACTTACCTAGCGTCTTAACACTATTAAATGACAGGGCTAGAATTTGAACTCAGTCCTGCATTTATAGAGCCAGACTCTTTCCCTGCACGAGGCACTCAATATTCACTTGTGTAACAAGTGAACGTTTGACGGATTGATGGCTGTGCCAACCAATTCAGTGTACTCAGCAACAAGGATTGCCAAAGGTAAAATACTATTCTTTAAAAGGAATGAATTTTATGCACCAGACAGTGGACGCTTTCATATAGTTAGGGTTGTTCAGTGTTGATGGCAGAATTTTTATTGCTGTCACGATTTGAGAAATAGAGCTCGGAAGAAATGCAGTACCTAGTTAGAAAGATGAGTCGATATGCTCAGAAAGTAAAATGCATATGAATGAACCACCGATAGAGAGGGGGGTGACATTATGCTGGGAAGATCATCAGTGACTTCAATCTTTATCATCCAATTCTCATAGCAGATTAGCCCCCAATTAAGTTAGAAACATGATTTAAGGTGAATAACATTGGTTGTTATCAGGTTGAACTAGATCAACTTGGACCACAGTGCTCATTTTCCTTTCGAAAGGAGTTTTAGAAAGTAGAATTGAAGGGGGAAAATGAGATCCTTATTTAACTACAAGCCTAACTTTCAGTGAACATTATGACTGCATATGAAAAATAACATTGATTCCACCACTCAAGGAAATTCACAACCAAGAACAAGAAAAATGTCAAAAATCAAGGGGACAAATCCTTGGCTCTGTGTCTTCCTCAGTTTCCTGTCTTCTTTCTTTTCTTTTTCCTTGTCTTTCTTTTTAGTTCTAAAATGTTTCTCATCTATTCTATGCCTGTGTTCATTCTTTTCTTTCAGGGGATTCGCTTTAATACTTTCTTTAGCTGTATGGAAA